GGGTGAGTCTGAAGACTTTTGCTACGATGTCTAAGTAAATTTTAATAATACGCAGGTAGTGAGTCTGAACATGACAACAAAATGCACAATTATTTTTAAATAATTATGTTTGAAACGTGAACAAAGCATAACATTTCCAAGTATACATATTTACCTTAGTTTTTATGACAGCTGCAACATAAATTAATTTGTGTGCAATATGTAAGCATGCAGGTATGTAGTAAGTCATTAATTTTATATTCAGAAACAAGGATTATTAAACTAGTTTTAATCTAAATAACCATTGATTATATAGTATGAAATTGCGCAACTGATATATACTATATTATGTGTGTTTATGTACATATATATTGAAATGTGATTCTTAGATGAAAACTAGTGTTAGCATTAAGCTTGCTACCAAAGACATTAAACCTCTCTTTACATACCACTCTATTTTAAAAACGAGTACTTATAATATTACGTGTGTCTCGGTTTAGCCCATTTTTTACATTACAAGTCATTAGTAGCTGGAGTAGTTCGAGAATACATAATTGTTTCTATAAATATATTCTACTGAGTATTAAAGCTGTAAAAAATATTTAACTCAGATGAATAATAAAGAGACCCCTATTAATAGCTATGTGTATAAAAGGTATGCGGGAAACGGAAGAAGCAGAGTTAGTGGATTTTTATATGAATGAGTGTTAGAATGATAAAAACGAGCATTTTGTATTTTAGTCATGGATGTTTATATACATTTTAATAAAAAAAAACACTTATATACATAAATAATAAATAAATAAATAAATATTTCTAACACTCACACCAATTAGCCTAGCCCCAAAGTAAGCACTATAAGGCTTGTGTTATGGGATACTAGGGTAACGGATAGAATACACATACTTTACATATATAAGTATATTTATATAGAAATACATATTTAAACATCCATGACTGGAGGACAAACGCTCGTGTTCATCACACAAATATCTGCCCCCACCGGGATTCGAACCCGGGATCTGTCGAGCCGGCGACGCCATGAAACCCGGCGTACAAACCACTCGGCCACGGAGGTCGTCAAAAACATATGTATCAGTATACAGGTGGTGGTCAATGGTCGCAGAAAAATGACGTCCAAAATTATGTTTTAGTTGCCCCGTGTTGAGAGGTATCTGAATCACCCCTACTCTTCTTTTTCTGATTTTTCGTAGGATTCAAGTTACGATTTATTTTATGAATTTTTGGAAAATTGTGAACGGATCAGTTTCAAAATTTTCTTAAAAATGTAGAAAATTTCTTCCATTTTTGCTGCTTAATTCTCTATGGACTGTGCATTAATGCATAACATAAACATAATTAATACTTTAATGGAAGTTAGTAAAAGTTGACTTAAAGTTAAGAATTTATATAAGTGAGCTATCATTTAAATTTTCAACTTAAAATTAAAATGCAAACTGGCAATTTCTTAGTTTCTATGAGGTTTCAAAGAATGCGCTAGACTCTAAGCTTTCATAATAATAATAAAAAAAGTTATACTTTATTGGCTATTTTTCGCTGAAATAAGCCATCCAGACAGCTAGCTGTAGGTGGAAAATTTTAAAATACTTTTTTATCTTAAGTAAGATTGATTAAATTGTTAACTTACCAAAAGGTAATCCAGAAAAGTTAAAACCTGACAATAATTTAAAATTTCATTTAATTTTAAGGTGTAAAAATGAAAAGTAGACACAAATAAATCAAGCCGGAAGCAGGGCTTATATTACTTTATTGTTTCATGCTGCATTTTTGTTGGTCGCAGATGACCTTTACAGCGTCACCGGGTTTGGGGACGGCGAGATCCTAGTGTAATAGTAATTAATTCCCTTAGTGAAGTGACAAGACTACGGTATATACCGTCTTATAATCCTAACTAAAAAGTGTGCAATAAAAATGGTAAATTTTAAAAATCTCAAAACCCAGCTGCTTAAATATTACTTCAAACAATAACTGAAAAGAAAAAATCAAGTCCAGTCTGTTCGTCCATCTTTACGCGGGCTGTATGCCGCGATAGGTAGACAGTTGAAGTTTTCACGGAGTACATATTTTCGTGAACCTTAATAGGTGTAGCCCCGGAATCCTGAATCCTTGAGTCAGACTCATGTTGGAATGGTTATTAGTACCAAATTTTTATCAATTTCTGTTGATGGAATCGTTTATTTCAAAAACCTCTCAAGTTACAAAATTGCAGTTTTTCGGGAATCAATAAAAACTTTCTGGCACAAACAATCGAAATTTCAAAGATTTTTTATTTATTAGAAAACTGCTCAAGTGCTAGCTCCTGTGACTCCGAGAGCAAAGAAGAAATTGATAACGTTTCTCAGAGAAGTGAAGAAATTGATTCGGAACAAGAGGGTATTTTGGATAATTTGGAAGAACCAGAATCTGTACCGGTGGCTACTAGTCAGTCGGCTGAAGTACGTAAAACTTGTTATAAATCCAAAGATGGAACAAAATGGTCAAAAGATTGTTCTAGACAAAGCGTTCGAGTTCGGTCTGAGAATATTATTACTAATACTCCAGGCGTAAAAGGTACTGCAAAACTTGCTAAGATTGAGATTGAAACTTGGAGTCTCTTTTTTACAGACAATGTGTTGAATAAAGTACTTATAATGCAGCGCCGAGACTACATTCGTAGTTTAGGTTTAAATCTAATAAATGATAGTCCTCCGGAACAGGCAACACAATGTACATCTTCCAAGGGAAACACGAAAAAGGATTGCCTATTATTTAGAGGAACCTTCACCACCAGTTTCCAAAAAAATGGCTGGTAAATATGTTAGAGGTGATAAGTGTACTCAGAAAAAAAACAAAAAAACAAAACTTTGCTGTACAAAATGTGAGAAGCCATTATGTATGGAACACGCAATTTTATGTGCGGAGATTGTACTAATTTGTAGGTGTAACTTTGGTGCTCTGTTAAATTATTTTATAAGACTTTTCAGTTCCTTTTTTATTTATAATAATAATAATAAGAAGACGCTATTGTTATGTTCATTTACCAAAGAAGTTGGATTTTTGTTAGATTTTTATGCGAAAAGAAGTTAACTAGGTACCTAAACTTGCATTTTTTACAAAGAAAATTGACATATTTTGTAATTTCAATAAAAAATAACGTTTTTTGTACTTAACGCTGGTATTTTATTTACTAATCTTGTTGAATGGATACCATTATTAATACATATCAAGCATAAATGCTTATTACACAATAATAGTATCAAAAATCGAACATTAAAATTTTGGGTATCTCCTACCAGCCTCATAGCTGGTGTAACAATTTCTCACCTCATTCACGCCGGGTTAAATTTCTTTATTTCTTATATGCCAAATTATCTTTAGTTTTAGCTCCGTAACTGTAGATGTTGAACTGCAGTTACAGACCGAATCAATGTATTCTCCTGAGACGTAGATATGATCATGCTTTAGAACATTTTTAACTCCAAACTCCAAAATCAAGGTCATTTAGTAAAACGAATGACCACGTATGGGAATATACTGATAAACTTTTCCAAAATGTCAAAATTAAATAAGTGATTACTACTCCCGTCATCTATTAGTGCAAAAAAGTGCGTGCAAAAAACGTCATGAGTCACTGATTAATGTTGTTTATGCAAAAAACGTCTTTTACGCGGTATTATTTGAAGAGGGAGGAATTTATTGACTAACCTTATTTTTAACTAGAATAAGTATCTGCCTTTAATAAATAATATTCAACAACAAAAAGCGTCTTGAAAAAAAAGTGACTTAAGAAGTTATTGAAATGACAGATACAATTCCTAATCACACTAATATTAAAAAGGCTAAAGTTTGTGAGTGTGTATGTTAGTTACTTCTTCACGTCTGAACGGCTGGAGAAATTTTAATAAAATTTGGCATGGAGTTAGCTGACACCCTGGATTAACATAATAGGCTTTATTTTACTGCGGGAAAATATTCCTAATAAACCGCGGGTAACACCGCGGGGCACAGTTAGTTGATAATTAACAAACGGATTTTAATAAAATTTGCTACACATCTAGTTTATGACATGGATTGAGGCATAGGATAATTTTTATCCCGAAAAATTGTAGGTTCTTGTGGGATTGAGTTAACACGGACAAAGTCGCGGGTGGCCGCCAATGTCAAATAAACTCATGGTAATTAAAGGGACTTATTAGGACTATACACCTTTTCTATTCTCATCGCAAAAAAGCGACTGCATGCATGTACTTCAATACAAAAAAAAAATACGGCGTCTCAAAGAGCAGTCGTTTATTTTTTTTAATCCTCTTAAGTATTTAACTCTACAGTGTGATAACATTTACCATTACCAAGACCATTCACGATTGTGAGTCAATTAGCTCATCAATCTATTTTTACGTTCTAGATTATTGTGTGGTATTTGATATTCAAATAACTTTGTATTCGATTAATTTAATATAATAATTCAGGTCTGCGGCAGCTTTGGGATCTAGTCCTTGAGGACTCTATAACCGTGATAAATGTTTACTTTTTGTTTCAATAGACATACCGTAGCTATCGTCTATAGATAGATAAATTAATATTTTTGACTTAAGAAAAGGCTTATCAAGTAGATAAAATTCTCACTCGACTACAGCATAGTTAAAGCTTTATGTTTCAGGAGTCCATGTACCCAGAATATATATAGACCCAGTGCAGTTTAGTGGGTGCACACAACATAGAAACCTTTTTCTGTGTTCTGTGGGTGGGTGTTATCGATTGTGGATGTAGGCGGGATCAATGGTTTAAAATGTTTAAGTGCAACCACAGAGAAAAAAGATTTGTTTGTGCATCCTGAAACCGGCCATAGCAAAAGTTACTGAACTTTCATGATCACTGAGAGGGCTAATACGGCGCCATCAAGTTCATCGGCGCTTCACTTTGTAAATTTATTTACATGATTGAAGTTTTTCAGTATGTGCGTGCAGCCTACATTATTAATGACAAGACTTTTTTTTAAGCTGTTTTATTTTTCCCAACAGCGGCGGGAGCTAGCTCAGACATGGGAAGTGAGCACTATTGCCTAAGGTGGAACAATCATCAGAGCAACCTTCTGGGTGTATTCAGCCAGCTGCTACACGACGAAAGCTTGGTGGACGTCACTCTCGCTTGCTCGGAAGGCGCCTCCATTAGGGCTCACAAGGTCAGTTTCGATAAAGAAACCTTTTAAACGATGCTTATTCGGATTCTTCAAAATATGGATGTTAATGAGCTTTATCATTATTGGTTTTTGCACCGTCAACAAAGTAATATTTAAGACCGTGCGCTGCGTGCCTGCTGCTGGGCACGAAGCGCCGGCGCCGGCTCGGCGTGTTTGTTTCATGTTATTTTATAGAGGCGCAGGCAACGGGGCACACCTTGTGGGTAGATGTTGCACGCCCGATTAGCTGTATTTGTTCTCTATTCCGCGTTGTCTTTTGGGTAGGTAGTATTACCAACAAATAATCCAGTAGGTATCGACTGTTCACCCGCGCAATCGAAATTGTACTAGCGGTGGCGCTGCAGGAGGCACCTGCCTCTTGCAGGCGGAGCACGGAGTGGATCTCCGCGACGGACGTCTGCTTCGTGCTCCCGCTTAAGGCAGCTCACGCGCTAAAGGTACCTACAACCATACATAGTTTTTGGGCTTTATATTCCTTGCGAATTTGAGAAAAATTAAATGACAGCCACACCTTGATGTTGCCAGCTCATCACCTTTAATAATATTTTGGAAACTGCTGTCTATTAATATAATTACTGTAAAGAATATGTCAGCCGTTAACGCGTTAAATGGGTACCAAACAAGCACACGGCACTTACGATTATTGATTGATTGGGTTCAGGTTGACAATGTAAGCTTACAAGAGCGGTTCTATTTGCTGCTGCTTCAGATATGTTTCTGACTGAACTCTTCTTATATTTAACATAAGGCAGTTGAAGTAATTTGCTGTGCCTTGAATAAGAAAAGCTTCCACCATAGCCTAAGCTATATTTATAGACGCTTGCGAAGCCGCTTGCTACAGTACCTACCGCAGGTGATATTTGCGCATTGTTTGCCCTCACATCACCAATCCAGTGGATCTCCAGTGAAACCTGTGGAAACAACTTAGGTTCTTAGGGAAAATATTATTTGGCTACAAGGCTCCGTAAGATTTTCGTGATGTGAATCGAGGAAACTGCTATGCTAATGTATCAGTCCAACCGATATCTATCTTCTGCTAATCGTCAATTTTTACTGTCCTTGTAATCCACTGGAACTTGTATGCAAGATCGTATGGTTCCAGGTAGTGCTGTCAGCTTGCTCATCATACTTCCGTTCACTGTTCGTGGACCATCCGTCACGTCACCCGATTGTGATCCTGAAGGACGTGGGTTTAGAGGAGCTGAGGACTCTGGTCGACTTCATGTACAAGGGCGAAGTTAACGTCCAGTACTGCCAACTACCAGCGCTACTGAAAACAGCAGAAAGCCTCCAGGTAATGATCGAATTTCGTACATTTGCTATAGGTAGTTTAAAAGTTAACTTTATAACAAAAATGAAAAGGTCAATTAGTTAAATAATGTAGGTATATGCGTTCCATCTACGACTGTCTATTGTATCGATTTCCACAATATCATAAGATATTGCATATGAGTTTATAATATGGGTGACCAAAATCATATTTGCTTCGAAAGACGTTTTAATCCGTTGACACGGGTTGCATCAGTTGACGTTAGTATCTAGGTACTGCAAAGCAATCTGCACTGGGCCTGCTAGATGGCAAGTTGTCCCTGTTCAAGAAAAGCCCGTGCCTTTGCGGTGGGGTCGATGATGTTTAAATGTCGATGATGATAAGACTTATTCCATATTCTTGGTGATTTTGATTTTAAAGTAATTGCAGTAGTAGAGGCTGGCTTAAAACAGGAGGAGGTCCTCAATTCGTCAGTATATATTTTGATGATTCTTTTTTGTTTGAATTGGTTATTTTAAGAGATATGAAAGATATAATAAAGGGCATAAAAACCAACTTCTAAAAAGCAAGAAATAATTCATATTCTTAACTTAAATGTAAAGTACATTAATAGTCAAATTAACATTTGGAGTCCTTGACATGCATGTTGGTAGATCAGAGTTGCCATTTTTTGCTTGGGTTAGAAGTACATGACGATGCATGCGATATATCGCTTACACTCGATATAATAAGAATCATCTAGTACTATATGTACAATCGATATATTTCATATTCCAAATATCGTGAGATAAATAATTAAAAGAAAAAAAAACTGTTTTAAACATTTATTTTTCTCTATTTATAAACGGTTGAGAAAATGTCACGTCGACCCCAATTTTATTTATTTATTTTATTAGGATCACCAGTATTTGTTTATACAATTACAAACATATAGAATTATTATAACATACTTGGATATGGGCTAAGTATAACAAATTTTAAAGGTGAACACCACATGCAAAAACAAAAACAAATGTACATACAATAAAAGTAGTCGGTTGATCAATTAACTGTTTCAAAAGGCATCACAATGTTACAATACTAAATAAAAAATAAATATGAATTTAACCTGTGTATCATGTGAAGCACTTAAATTTTTTTTGAGCTTGGTAAATGAGTCAGCAAGGATTCGACATTACTTTCGTTAACAAGCTTACTCAGTCTTGGTAATTTAAAGAAAAAGTTCGTAATCTATCGACAGCGGAATACGCAGTACAATTTGAATCCTGCCTGATACACCTTGACCGAGTTAAATTCTTTCTAGTATTTTTTTTCTTTAGATTTATAAATGGAGCTGATTTTTGCTTCAATATAATAAACTACAATTGTTTTTTCTTCTTTTAAATGTATACTGTAAATTCATTTGACCTTGTGGTTTACTTACAATTCGTAGAAATGACGCTATCTTGCAGCCCAATAAATACTAGAAGAAATTTGACTCGGTAGCATAGCGGTTCGTGCCTCTGCCCGGACAGCAGGAGATGTACATTCGAATACTATGTGATACCTTGACCGAGTATATTTTTTCTTAAGATTTATAATTCGAGCAGATTAATGCTTAAAATTAAATTTATTAAATCACAAACAAATAACTTACGATATATCGACAACATCGATATAACACTACGATATATTGTATAGGAAAAAATATCGATATTTATTTACATGAATAACCTAGCTTGGGTTGGCATGGCACCGACACCACAATATTTTAATTTTACTCTTTGCTTTTGATATAAGAAATTAATATTAGTTAATTCTACTTTTTAGTGGTTTTGTAAAGAAGTTAGTTTTTATTTTAATACAAATTTTAATCTTACAATGCATTTTAGTTGTAGATTCGTTTTTATTAATGGCAAAACGTTTTACATTATAGGTGAAAGGACTAGCAGAAATGACTACGTTAAGCGCAGCTGGCATCGACGCAAGAAACGTCCCGGAACCAATGGAAGAGTGCCCACCACAAGACACAGAGTCTCAAGAACAAGTTGAAAGGTTAGAGAATAGAGAAACTCGAGAAGTAAAGGAAGATAGGCGGAATTCCAAAGAACCCCGAGATATGAGAGAAAGAGATAACAAAGACAGCCGCGAGATAAGAGAAAGTCACTTACGGGAAACCCGTGAGCCCAGGGATCACAGAGAGCAGAGAGAGCTAAGAGAGAGGAGTTCATTAGACTTACGAGAATCGCGGGAGATTCGCGACTTAAGAGAATCGAGAGAGCCCCGCGACATCAGGGATCATAGAGAATCCCGAGAATCCAGAGATATGAGAGACTCACGTGAACTACGGGATTATAGGGATACAAGGGAAACCCGGGATCCCAGAGAGCCACCAGAAGCTTCACCCCCTAGAATATCTCCTTTATTGTCTGTTCGGCGGTTTCGACCGGAAGTTTCAGCCGAAACACCAACTACAACGCATCCTCCTTTACCCAAAGATGAACCTCCTGACGAACCGATGCGAGCGTCGTCGCCAGAAGAAGACACTGTTTCGATTAGGTCCAATGGCGCTCAAAGCGAAAGCATTGGTAAGAATTTTATAATGTGTCTTTTTAATAATTGTTTTTGTTCTGTGAGTTATTGATGGAGCTAGGTACGAGTATATGTTAGTGAGTGCATTTAACGACTAAGTTAATAGAGATACCTATTCAATCAGAAGGTAGCATTCCGATTTCGGCAGTCGCTGCCCGGCAGGCACGTATAGAGTTGATGACTTTGTAGTGGAATTAGGCAATTAGTAAAAAGCTGAATGTATTTAACTAATTTATTTTATTCCGCTCTGATAAAATTGAGAGCGGTCACTTAGCCAAAGATCAACATAAACGGTCTGCTCGAGTAGTCAGAGTCTACAAGCCTGGAGTTGCCATCCGGTGCAGCAGCAACAGATGTAATTATGTCCGCTTTAAGAGCAATATTATTGCATCAGTTTTATTAGCGTTTATTTTAGTTGTCAGACATAGGTAGTTCTGCTTTGATAGGTACTTTACAAACACACATTGATCACATTGACTCCTACTTGACTTTAGTACTACTGCCTGTAAGTGGCGGCACGTGGCAGTGCCGCTTGACAGTGCCGCAGAGCAGCGGCTGCCTTGCAGTGCAGTGACTGCCGAGACCGGCCATGCTACCTAAACTATCGAAGATATATCAATAAAAACATCGGTCGGTTGCCTATTAAGTTTGTATGGTAAGGGAGTGTGCACACTTGACTGAAATAAGTAGGAAATTGTTCCGTCTGCTCCAGCTCAAACAAGACGTGCACACTACATAACTACGTTGCATTATTATAAAACAACATCAGGGTTTTGCCGATTTAGCTGTAATGGTATCATACAATAATTGGTTGTTCTGAATGGATGATTTTTAAAAAGAATAAATATGGGTTGACTTGTCTACATTCAATGATAAAAAATAAAAGAAAATAATAGAAATAAAGATGAGGCTGTATGGGCATTATGCCCCTTGCCTTCCCAGAATAGGGAGAACCTGAAAAAATTACATGTCAACTTTTGACATTGAAATTGACATCACCTCATATGACAAATACAAAACAACAACATTAAATTATAAAATACCTGTTTAGAAGTTTAATTAAAATATTTATATACAGTAAATGAGTGAAATGTGTTTTTGCATAGTCATGTCAATCATTCTCAAGAATATTTTTGGTATCGTTTTACGATTTACTACAAAAGGAATCACTTGAAAGGTATAGGTTGAAAAATACCTTTAAAATCAAAACAATATTTGATGTTATTGTTCGTATTTAATCGTTTCTTATACCTATATTATTAGAGGGGGCTATTTACTCCCAAAGTGTTTGTTACTATAAACTTTAATGTACTTAACTTTAGGTAATGATCATTTTTATTATGTTCAACTCTTGGTGAACCAAAACAATTAATCTCCGTTTATTTATATGTTATAGTTACTTATACTTTTGCTTTTTGTTTTCCAGGTTTAAATATGACAATAAATAGTCACAGCAGTGTACTAGGCCCAAGATATTCTCCGGTGGAGCAGCGTCTAAACGTGCTAAATGCGCTGCCTCACCCGGGCCTCCCACATGCTCACCCGGCGATATCTAGTCCCAGGAGCGAACCGATTGCTGGACCTTCCGGACTACCTCCAATTCAGCAAGTTCCATTAGTGAGTACCCTTTTAGAAACAGCTTTTGAAAGAGGATCTTTATTATTTTAGTAAGTGATCATATTATGAAAAGGGAAAGGTTATGATAAAGCATTGCAGTAAAATATTTTTTACATACTTACAAAATTTAGTAAACGTATGTCTAATTTTTATTATTTTCAAAACTCAAAAATATCTAACTTTGCTAAGTACTTTTAAATTGTCAATTCCCTTACTATACTGTATCGAGACCAAACAATTTACAGTTTTGGCAGTGGCACCAATGACTCACAGGAGACAGTGAACAACATTTTTTCTGTGATCAATGAAAGTGGGAGTAGGTGGCCAACCAGTGGGTGGAAAACGGACTGCACTGAGCTACAGACACTCAGTATTACCTCATATTTAGTGGTTGGTTGTCTACTCTTATTTCATTGATCACAGAAGGAAATGTCAGTCATTGGCTCTTGTCAGTCTTTGGTGCCACTATCTTAATTCTATGAAGATCATCATTAGTTATTTATTTATTTATTTTGTACACACACACAATAAAATATTAGAAAAAAGAGAAACAAGAGAAATGTTCATGGGCACTGCTTATTTCATAATGAGATTTCTTCCAGCAGGCCCGCGAAATGAAAGAACATAGAAAAAGGCAGTCAGTGTGTTTTATTAGTATGATCAATTAATCCATTAATTGGCCATACTTACCTGTAAAATACTATCTGGTATTTGTTGATGTTGGTTTTCTTAATAAAATAAAATAAAAAATCAAGAGTGCATACATCTTATTATTTTTTATACTGCATTAAAGTTTTTGTATCCTTTTTAATTGCAGTCTTTGAAAAAAGAGGTAGACTGGGACAGAAGTAATGAGGATAAAGGTGGAGGAGAGTCATCATCGGAGTACAGATTGCAACATGAATCGGTATGTTCAGTCCTATCTTTTTGTTTTTATTCATTGGTTGTTGTAGATTATGTTAATAATTATATTGATTCAAGTGATTGCATAAATGAAATCATTGATGTACTTACTTACAAAATAGAAACAATATATTTTAATATGTTAATGGTACTTTAAATTTTCTGTTACTACCTTTAATTTAAATCAATATTCTATTGTCAATAAAATTTTTGTATCAATAATTCCAAAAAAGTAAACGTAATTTTAAAGATATTTTATAAAACCATAATTTTTTAACTGTTTTGTGTTTTTTATGAATGGCAGTGGTTTATTCAATATTTTGAAATAGTGTTGAGTTTGCTACAAATTAAGCTATAGATTATTTATTATGGTTTAACAGATCACATTAAGATATTTCTTATACTTGTAATCCCTTGCTAGTTCTGGAGCTCTAATAAAGATATGTGAGTGTTATGATATCTTAATACTGCCGAGATATTACTCATTTGACTGACTATAATATAAATCTAGATTAATTTGAAATATACTTTTTGTTTTTAAGTAGGTACTTGATTGATTAAAAATACATATTTTTTTAACAAAAGAAAAGTATCAAATATGTTTACAATCAGATAGTGCTATTTGACATATACCATTAGATGTGAAATTTTAGTTGCTATCGAATTGTGCAAAATAAAGCTAAAATGGGGTATCCCAGACATACTATTTTTTGCAGATTCATATCATATTTATAGAATATTTCAATGATGCATTTATATCTCCACATTTCTAATTGTTACCTGATTTGATTTCACAATAAAAAAATATTTTTCATTTAAAGTTTTCTATTAAATTAAATGTTAAATGTCAAACTGGCATCTCTGTATTCAGATTTATTAAAAAATTGTTTCTTGAATTTTATTTATGTATTTGAATTTGACTAAATCTATTATAAAATAAAACATAAAATTTGTAACATAAAATATTCATGTGTTCATTTGCAATTACTTGAATTCAATTATTACAGTTGCTTTAATACTAACAGCATTATTTACTGTAATATACATTGTGCATGCTTGTGACAGTGAAATTTATTAAGAAAAAGAGTTATTTTGGTAATGAATGATGCATGATGGTTAACAATTGACCTAATTCTGTAGGCATGTTTTAAAGTCATTATTGAAAATAAGTAAATTGTTACTACTTTTGACCAGTTGTTTGACGTCCTTCTTAAGTTGTAGTAGGTAATTTATACATTTCTCTCAGTACAGATAATTTATTAATGTCTGTCATCGAATTAGTACTTATAAAGCCATCAATTTGAGGGAGATGTTTTTTTGGACTATTTACTTTATTCATTACAAATAGATGACGGATTATAGATTAATATACGCAATTTTTATTATATTTTGTAATTGGTGTTTTATGTGCAAGTTGATTTATTAATATGCATGCTTGTTTCTGCGCTGTTTTGAACATTGAAGTACTATGCCTTGCTGTCAAGAAGTTGACCTTCATTTTGTTGGCCATCATTTTTATATCCATTAATTTTGTTTGATATTATATTTTTGGGCAGTTTTCTTTTTATTTTTAACTTTGGCCATTATACATGCATATTTTATTGTACGAATCATTGATTCAGTACGCGTGACCGTCGCAAAAACAACAAGGCATTACGCGTAGTCGACTACCGGGTCACTCCTGCACATTTTTTGGGCAAAAATGAGCGTCAACTTCTTAATTTAGATAGATGACAAACTTAAAAATATACTGAGACTGCATCTCAATTTAGAAAGTAGTGGTAGAGATAATTGCACAAATTATGAGCCATGTGGAACTAGAGAGAAAAGAAGTTGATGTTCTTTTTTGTGGTTGCAGGAGTACGAAGGGTCCGGTAGGGGGCGAATTGAGGAAGGGGAGAGGGGTTACCCTTGCATACACTGCGGCGCGTTGTTTCCCCACCAAAGCAAACTGGCCAGGCACATTCTGACTACGCATACGCTGGACACTTTGAAGTACAGGGACGCGATACTAGGACGGCAGATGGGGCTCCCGATGATAGGACAGTTCAATGAGCCGACGTACATAAGCATGCCAACGGAAGAATCCCCCATAGATTTGGACATCGGGCCTGTGGAAGCCGGAAACGTGGTGCTCTGCAAGTTTTGCGGCAAGAGTTTCCCTGACGTGTCCTCTTTAATAGCACACTTGCCGGTACACACTGGGGATAGGCCGTTCAAATGTGAATTTTGTGGAAAAGCATTTAAGTTGAGACACCACATGAAGGACCACTGTAGAGTACATACAGGTGAGTTATTATTAATATACTTTCTATGAAATTCAGATATGGAAAATTTTTTCGTTGTGTTATATAGTTTAGTTGCTATTTGTTGTTCTAGGTGAACGGCCGTTTCGTTGCGTACTATGTGGCAAGACATTCTCGAGGTCTACTATTTTGAAGGCCCACGAGAAGACTCACTATCCAAAGTACGCCCGGAAGTTCCTGTCGCCGAGTCCCGTCGACACGGAAGAGGAGAGCCCCCACCAATGAGTGGGAGATTGCTACCCCACACATAGTCAAGTACACCTTAGCCAATAGTACAAGCTATCTCTGGACGTAATCAGCAAGGCTCAGCGGGATGTGATTGTCTATGATGAACAAAAGGAGGACAATATGTTGTAATTAATTAAGAATGTGATTTAAAACGCCGCAACTGTGATCTGAATGATATGAATAATATTTGATATTTCACTAATAGTTAATTCACGCGTTGGATTCGTTACTCCTGGGTTGACTTCTATATATTTATATATGAACACTCGGTTTCTTCTATCGTTTGCTTGATAAGGTTTTTGGAAATAGGTGCTTTCTTTACGCTTTAGATGATAAAATATAACTCATCTCTATGAGTCCCTTAACGGCATAGCCAAAGTTAGCTAGAGAAGTTAAACTTCGTTTGTTATGTTTAGTTGAAATTCGATTGACTATTTAGACTTTCCTTTAGTTTTCGCTTAATTTTGAATGTGCCTGTTATGTCAGAGTTGTGTATCTTGTTATTGAGCCTTCGTAGTTGTTCGATTGCCATTTCAAAGCTTTTTAATAATGAAATGAAAGAGAAAAAATAATACCCTTACGACATATTGGTTCACCGCAGACTTAATCTATGGTGACTTGCATATTTATTATAGTAGATTAATCTCATGAGTTGATTTTTTATAATACCAAATTAAATATTGAAAACGAGTGCTTTAATTATTATTATTAGAGACCATGCGAATGATGCACTCAATATAGTTCATAATGATTAAAAAAAAAGTTAGGGATTTGAGATTTTTACTAATTTTATGTCTTTCAAAGTTACAACGCACGCTCCCCTGAGGTAATTCAAAAGCAATATTATGACATATAAAATGTAAATAATATATAGTTTGATAATACGGGATTTTTAGGAGAATTATTTAGATTGTAAATGCTTCGGTAGTGATGTATTCGGTTAACACGGGGAGAGGTGTGGAAGTGTGATCATGGAAATCAAAGCTTTAAAGCCGTTTAATTTCAGTCCGAACACTATGCCTCTTAATCCGCACTCGACGTGATATGCTTTTCAAAAGCACGTTCTCTCTATTATGTCTTAACACACAATAAGCAATCCTTTATTTCGTTGGGATTTAAGAGGCATAGCTGCACATTTATATAGTGGTTATATAAAAATTTTCATCTATTTTCATACTACAAATGATATTGTTTTACTAATTTCAAATGCTTTGTGTTATTCATCGGCTGTTTTGGTATCTTTCAATAAGACATCTTAACATTTTAAGAGAACATTCAGTCGAAGTTGTCGCTTAGGTTAATAATTGCTTGAGCTAAATTTTCGAATTGGGAGAAAACGATGTAAGCGATCGATGTTTAACGCAAGCAGTTATCACCCTAAAGTGTGACATTTCAATTTATTTGGTTGAAAATTAAGCAACTGATTAACCATGCGAAGCATTTGGAAATTATCACAATTGCTGTGTTCAGTAAATTAACAGAGTGAAATACAGGGATATTTTATGGATTTTATTTTACATTATTTCCACATCTGCTAAATAGAATTAGGGTTTCATTTATTAACAGCATGATGTGCGCCTTTTCAGTGAAACATGTGAAATAGTTATTTATATTTACATCACAAACAAGAAGTAAAATATAAAGCTTTGATTTGGAACTGATTGGATGTCGGCTCACTGTAGTGTGTAAGTGTACTTGGTAAATTATTTAATTTCTTTCTCTTTTTGATTTGTCTACGGTACTCTCTGGCTGAAACTTTTTAGGAATAACGATCGCAAGTAACATATTATAATAATGATATTTTGAAACGTAAATTAATTACACTAGTCGGTAGAAACTGAACATTTCATAATCTTTAGTACATATCATATTTCTATCTTACCAAATAGTATTATTATACGAATTTGTTTAAAAGAAAAAGGAAAAAATAACTTTGTTAAAATTCGTTAGGCTATCGAAAATGTTAATTTTAACTCATTAATAATCACTTCTATTTAGGCGTTTAATGACTTTAATATTATAAAAAAAAAATGGGAAGTATTATGTTTATTATATAGGCAAAAGATCTGTGATAATATGTAAAAGTAAGTAATGCTACATCTGGGAGTTTTAACATAAAAATTTGATCTCAGATTTTATACTTGTTTTAACGGGATATCGACTCTAAGGTCCGTATTATAGAAAGATTCTCAGTAATGAATCTAATCTTGAGCATAGATAGAAAGGGATGTCTCTATATAGAGCACATAGTGACATCCCTTTGTAACTGTACTCAAGTTCAACACTTAGTTGTCATTCTGTAATACGGGCCTAAAAGTAATACGCTATGATGGTGCGGCTATTGTGGATCAAATCTTTAGAGAAAGCTAGAAAAAACGAGAGTATATGCATAGTTACTAATGTATAGTCAGACAGTCGGGTCAGGAGAACGATTTTCACATTAGCATGATTTAACATAAGAAGGAGATAGAAAGCCTCTCTGAGTTTGTTTCGCTGGTTCTTCTCAGAAAGATCTCCCAATTTTGGAACCGGTGGTAGTTTACGGTAGTTAGGGTCAAATAAATAAACTCAAAATTACAAAAAAGAATTTTAAATAAAGTACTTTATTAACTAAATTAACTAACAAATTCATACATAGAAATAAAATTTTAAAAATCTTCCAATGAAATAACCGAACGCTCAATAAAAGTCTTTCGAAGGTAGCTCGACAAATTTAAATAAAAAATCAGTATTCTGACGATGCAGACCTGAAAAGGCTGCGAAACGTCAATAAATAAATAAAGTTTCGTGCATTAACTCGTTAAAAACTAGTTTTATTTAATTATTGCAGTTTCTTTCCATTGGTGAGTAAGGTTTTAGGTCTCCAAGCGGCATATTTTCTACTGCGTCAGTTGTTATTGAGACTATACTCCACGTACACTTAAGACCAGAGAGACATTTTCTTGTATAAGTAGGTATAGTATATTTCTGTTGTTTTTTTCTGGATCTTACAATTATTAATCATCATATGCATATACTCTATTCTCTACAAAGTTCTCTAAATTGTGATTATTTTAACGCACCTACGTAGATCAATGGTGGCGTTATCTGATATTAACAGATCTCAAAGGTAACCTTTATTTAAATTGTAATCTTATAGGTTTGTTCATCGTAGAAGTAGGGTGTAAGATAGGATAAAAAAACATGAACTCGCATTTTAAATTGGAAAATCATACTTGTGACATTAAAAAAATAGAGTCTATTTATTTAGGTATTCGCAAGCGCCTAACATCCCGTAAGAAATATCTATAAAACGTATGAAATCAAGTATATTAATGTCTATTTACATTAAACATTTGATTGTAAGAATATTTTCCAACGTTTCCGTAAGTTCATTTGTGATCAATTAATAAAGCCGGCTTTTTGTTTCGATTTGGAGATGAAAATGGCAAATCAACATTTCATCCGGTTTCTGAAAGACTTGTCAAATCATTAATCAACTGACATACTCGTTAATTTACCAGCAGTGTTAAATCAATTTGAGTTTCTAAAACGAAGATAATCCATATAATTATTACATATTAATAATATATTTACTTATAATTGATCGATGATTTTGAAATTATGAACGCACTTTTTAGCAACAATCTAATAATAATACAATCGTGATATAATGATATGTATTTCCACGTAAAATCGCGTAACTCTGCTATGACTTTAATTTTAGACAAGTTTTTACTAAGCTTTTTTGTTGGTATTTCCGCGACAAATGTCATCGGTTTTCTTGTTCGAAAGTGCCGACTATTCACTTTGGTATTCTTATTTGCTATTTGTAAATTTGACATCAGCCTGTCCTTTTCATTCCTTATAAAGCATGATAAAGACAGATTGTTGTCCACGTTTACAAATAGCATATATATACGAATATCAAATTGAAGTGCCGGCTCAACATTGATTGACTGACAGAGTGGTCAGTTGAATAAGCTTTCAGCAACTCAATTGACAGGAAACATTAGATTTGACGGCTTCTTAGTTAATTCTTTGCTGATAAACTTTTCAGAAACCGGCTGTAATTTTAATTATTTGCTCAAACTCAATTGAAAAAAAGTGGTAGATTGATTGTAAAAAATTAGATAATCAGTTGAAACGATGACCAACCCTTTTGCTCCTAATTGATCTTCTGTAGCTAATAAAGCATCTTAAGAACCGAGATGACATTAACAATACGGAAAAGATACGGCACTACTGCAAAGACGACGTAATCACCATAGCGCCATAAGTGCGAGGGTGATCACAAGCCACCCCCATCACTTAGGTAAGGAATGGGGTTGCCTTGTAACCCCCACAACATAGTTGTATAATATATTAAACTAAATTGCTGCTTTATTTCTTAGAATGTTTTCAATCTGCCACCTCGTGATAAAGAACTAGAGCATAAAATAAATATTAATACTCATATTAATTCACTTGATAAGAATTTTATGTCACATCAAACTGATATTACCTAAATTAAGGTATTCATCAAAGTACCTATAAACATGATTTAAAGATTTTTTTCTAGTAAAATTTTCTTTAGATTTAACCTTGTATTCAGTTATGTTATGCTTCAAAAATAAAAAATATAACATATTATTTGTTAGTTAGGCGCTAAATTTTGCACCGTTTTTATATATAGGCGTGAATGTATTGTTCCTTAATTCCCAGTTTTAAAATTTTTCGTTATAAAAGCCGTGAGTACCGCAGCATTTCAAAATGAAATGTCTTGTTATTTTCATTCGAGTGGAATGTTGAGGTATTAGATATTTAATAAAATGATGTAGACACTAGTAAGTTTTTAATTAAGTAATACAATAAAAAGTAAAGAATTGTTTTTGAAGATTTTCTTTTATTAATTTAATTGGGTGTGCGCGGTTTGTGCTGATCGTTTGAATAAAATTATCAAAGCAACACGAACATTCCATAATAGGCTGATGGATATTGAAATTTACATCGCCTGCGCGTGCGCCGCCCTTGTGTAAATTTGAACATCCACTTAAATCTGTTTCTTTTGTTCGAATAGAAATTATTTTACACAATTCTCTGTAAAATGTAGCGAATCAATTAATAGGTAACGAAATTAATTGCGGGCAAATAAAATTAATGTTTGTCTTATCGATAAAAAGCCCGCACGTGTAAAAATGCATTTTAGATAATAGATTGGTAGATGCGCTACTTCCCGGAGCTAGATTTTGGATATGTCTCATCACATAAATATAAAATTAAAAAAAAAATCACAAGAATGTTGCTATTTGAAAAGCTGCACTCTTTTTTTATTTCTCATAGTCGAAGGTTACCAAACTTAGCAATATCGAAACCTTGATTAATGTTCCTCTTCTTATTTTAAGAAAGATTGAATATTTACAATTTACAGAAAATAATTAATAGCAATAAATAAATGATTAACGATGATACGAATTAAAATGAAGAAAAGAAAAGATAACAAATTTGTACGAGTTTTATCGACATAGTTTTTATAATAGCACAGAATGCAGTTGTAAAATGCTATTTTGTTTCCTAACTTTCAGAGGTACTATTTATTAAACAAATAATAATATAAATAGAATTATATTTGTATGTATTGATGTGTGAATATTATATAGGCAGTGCGGTGAATGTTGTTAGTGACTTGTATGACATACTTACATGAGCAATAGATTTAAATGCGGCCCCTAAGTGCAGTTATTCAAATTTTAACATTTGCCAGTTATCGCCACGTCCCTGGAAAGTTCACACGCCGTTAGCACAAATTATATATATTATATTAAAAATAATTCCAATTTATGTAGAATTTCTTTTGAGTACCTTACCGAGCATGGTATATCGTTAAAGAGAACACATATTAGCACGAAATATTTCATGTGTTGAAATAGAATACAAACGTAGATTCTTTTTTATAATAATGAATTGTGACCACAGTTTTATATTTAGAGTGCCTCTTGCCTATACAAGACTTATATAAAGGCTGCAAATCACGGAATATACATAGTTTATGTAGCGAATAGAGGTAATTGTGTAATTTTTATGGTGAAAATTGTAAGTTGCGTTATGATATGTGACTAATTTTCTACCGCATCCGTTGTAGTATCGGTGTAACACGCAAATGACGTAGACCTCCGTAGTTAGCGCATTCCAATCTTGTGATGATGTTTTCATACATTTGTAAACCCAGTGCAAAATTTTATTTTCGTGACCAATATAACAATAGATTTATTTTATATAGTGTTAGTTATATATAAAGCGTCGTTAAGTTTCGTCCATAATGATTATGGTATAGACAATGCGGATGTGTAACTGGTTAGTTGTGTATAATATTTACCAATTTTTAAGTGGCATACCTAAATATAGAACTTAAATTGCAATTTTTCTAAGTTCCTGTAGGTGTATTAATTAATTATTATTATTGTATATTGGTACAATTGTTTTAATAATTATAATGTGTTTTATTATAAATTATTTAGGTTGTAGTGTTTCGTGACTTATCATTTGTATTAGCGTAATATATGTATGTTTTGTCGTCATGATCTTTTAATGTAGTTATAGGTACTTTCGCAAATGTCACTCGGGCGTGTACTGTTAAATATATTGGGCAAATATGGGAGTTCGTGACAATATATTTCGTATATTATGCTACTATAAATTATATTCAGCACAAGTTCAAATAACGTAGGTCCACTTTATTTATAAAGCGTAATAATTGTTGCATCTTCATTGAGTATCAATAATTTGATTTTCTTTAAGCTGATTTATTTAACATTCATTGTTGACATTTTAGATTAGAATAAAATCTGTTTTGCCTTAACATTTATTAATAGTTCATAATGTTGTAACAAAGAGCAGTGCAGTTTTGTTGAATGAGAACATAAACAGTATCTTCATATTTATATCAAAAAGATCGAGGATCAAAGTGGTGTAATGTTTTGTCAATTGTGCAACAGTCTATACAAAGACCCATCGCTGTTGATCATTGTAACTTTTGAAACAAATATAAGCATATCATAGCTGTAAAAATACAATTTTGACAAATAAAAGCTCTACAATCATTACAGTCCTCTGTTTCTTTATTTTTGGCGTTCTCTTATCTCCAGATATTGTCAGGTACGTACGCAAATAAAAATGAAATCACCGTCTCTCATATATCATCACGCAAAATTCACATTCATACTCATTTTTTCTTTGACAGATGTGTTTGGACATGTCATGCAGTTCACCGAGTATTCCGAGTCCGATACCGCCACGTAGTCCGACGGCGCTGCCGCTGTGGTCTCCACTGTTAGCTCTGCAAGCGTGCCGGCTGCGCCGCTATCTAAGCGACGACTGCATGGCCTACCAGAACAGACATCTTCTACACACTGACAGAAGGCGGTGTGGGGTCTGCCTCGCGTCATTTCCCTCCACGTGGCTTCTGGAACGCCACGCCGCACTGCAGCACGCGTCGCAGACCTCCTGCGATGACAAACCGTTTGTCTGTGAACAGTGCGGCCAGAGCTACCGGTACAGATCTGCTTACGTCAAACATCGTGAGCAAAACCATCGTGCCAGACTGCCAGCTGACAAGTTATTCACGTGCGATGTCTGCGGAATGCAATTTCGATACCTCAAATCCTTTAAAAAGCACCGCCTCAATCACACTTTGGAAAGGCTTCATACGAAGAATACAGACCAACCCGAAGGCATCGACCAAGTGTCCAGTACCAATGAGGCTTTGATCGGCCAATGCGGTGAAATGGATCTATCTATGAAGAAGAGAACTAGAACTGAAGAACCGATAACACCTCCCATCGAGGTTATCAGGGACGCTGAGCAAGATAGCACGGTCGACTCGAACGGTCCGACCGACTCGGTGATGACAGTCGAGGATTCTCGCGACTGCAAGAACTCCGAGATGGAAAGCAAGAAGGAAGATGACACGACATCAGAAGAGAGGCGGCGTGTGCCGGTGTCGTTTGCAAGCGTCAGTTCCATGGCCGATAGTTCAGAGAGTGAGTCCCGCGGTGACGGTAGCAAGCACGAGAGCTCCAGCTCTCATTCTGGTATCGTCGGCTTCATACCAACCGACGACAGACAAAGGGATAGGGAGAGGCGTTTCGCGTGTCCGTTTTGCGGAAAGTGTGTTAGGTCTAAAGAAAACTTGAAGTTGCACGTCCGGAAGCATACAGGCGAGCGGCCGTTCGTGTGCTTGTTCTGTGGGCGAGCTTTCGGGGGCAAGAGCGACCTGACTCGCCACCTCCGCATTCACACTGGCGAGCGGCCGTACCACTGCGAGGCGTGCGGTAAGTGCTTCGCCCGGGCGGACTACCTCTCTAAACACCTCACGACGCACGTCCACAATGCTCGCTGATCTACAACCACGCCGTCCTCTTCTACATCACCATCGTACACATACCTCTATAGTAAATGAAAATTACAATAAAGCGGTTGAACGGAATATTTTTAATAACATTTTGAAAGTTTACAATGAATTTGATGTAAGCCGTTTTTTTTTATTGAAGCTTTCAAGAGCGCTTTCTTTGAGATGTGGTTTTAGGTATTTTAATTCTATATTCACGATTTTAAAATTTATATAACACTTGAGTACATCAATATTAACGGTGCAGATATGCGCTTTGCAGTCGTGTGGTGTAAGTGACATCTTAAAGTTACGTAAACGGCTGTAACGCTGTTACATAACTCATTCCTTTTTTCTATAGATCAAATGGTTTTTGTATCAGGATCGGTTATAGATAATTACAAAAATGTGTGGCATTTGGCATGGCTTGGGTTACTATTCTTTATTTTATTGACCACTCATTCAAACATGTTTTATTACTTGTAACGCTTGCAAAAACAGGTGATGTTTTGCCATATTTTTATATGCCCCTGTAATGTAAGATTAAAAACTCATTCCATTGAAGGGAAACTAGAAAATTGGTAGTCGAGAAGATAGATAAGTAGAAGAATGCAAAAAGCTGTGATTCGTACGATTAAGACCAGTCAAACATGTTTTAGAACATCGAAAAATGTTTTATCTAATTTAAAATAATTTTAACACTTAGAAATATATAAATTATAATATATAGTTTTAAGAAATCTCTCTGTGCCAAAATATGTACCTCATAAACTTAACACGAAGTAGATAATTAACTAGCGAAGGTTAATTGTACACAGCTTGTTTTAGATTTCGTTGTTATGAAGACAAAGAGATAACGATTTTATATCTACAGTTTATATTTACATGGAATCCGGTATATTACTACGTCCCATAATACTTATATATTTTATTATAAGACACAGTAAGACGGAGTTTATTTTCGAAGTGAAAAATACTTGCCCGTACAATAATTAAAGAAATATTTATTCGGTGCAATAAAGCATGCCATTTTATCTTTTAGAGATCACAACTACTGCCAATAATGTAATAATTTATGATACTTACTCGTTCGTAAATTCGTGTCATTTTCCCATAGGTTAATTTTAAACATAAACTTTTTTTTTAACTATCACTTCTACTAAACTAATTTTAATTTGATTCGTTTGTTTCACTTCAATTTGATTGAATATTTTCAAATCATAGTTTCCAATATTACACGAATATTTTTATAGAAGTAAATATCTAGGGGTTAAGTATCTTTAATACATTTTAAGAGAAACATTTGTTGCAATAATTTAGATAACATTAGCCATAATAAAGTCCGTTTGGTATTAATTGATTAGACTTCGCCTTTTGATAGATTTCAGTTCAGTATTTTCTATGTTTATTTCTCAGTTCTTTTAATTATATAATATTGTTTAATTCTTGTTCAAATTAAGGGCGGTCTTTATGCTTCTGTAGCTTGAAAACAGCTTTAGAACCTCAGAAGTTTGTATGTTACACACATAAATATTTGAATGTTTTCTCCCACACACGATTTTGACAAACACTTAGAAAATTTCACCAAAACTTGTTACCGATAAAAATATTCTTACATAACCTGTAAGATAAAGACAGGATAATTATTTAAATTAAGGCAATATCTTTTTCAATTATGTATTTATGTAGGTAGATAAAATTTTGAATCGATCAATTAATATTTTAAACGGACTTTCTTTGTCAATTATAATGTATAGGATATAAGTCAGATAAAGTTAATCATTGTTATATATTTTTTACAATTTGTGGGCCAGTATTTTTCACAATTTTCAACTGCAGTTTTAAATGTATCAAATCTTTTTTATAATAATGAAATAATTATCAATAATTTCTGAGACAATTTACAGATTTTAACATAATATACTTAATAGTCAATGCAACGAAATAACCAGGTACAGGTAATGATAAACGAGAAGAGTTTTAATAGCCTTATTATAATATATTTTAGTTAGAGTTCACACTTACATAGCTACTGTTGACTATATATGTGTTTGCATCGAATTTATTTCATACGCAGTTTCGTTTTTTTCGCTAACAATGTGATCTGTGATTTTCATCTTAAGCGTGAGATTGACTTAAATTATTGTGTAAGTAGGTAGGTACTTACAACTTCTAATTGTTATAAAATATTTTATTGTCAGGGCATTCTTATAAGGTTCTATGTCACACATTTCGTGATAATCACTGTTCATAATAAATAAAAATATGAAATGTCATAAGACAACTAATGACAAACTGTTGTCGTCTCAGAGATTTCAGATCTGTACCCCAAGCACTAACTGCTAGCGAGAAAGTATTCGTATCGCAATCGTCAAAGTTTCTATGGAAGTAGCTAGTTTGTTCTTACGGCCGGTAGGGGCGCTGCTAGTTTCCATAGAAATTGACGATGACGATACGAAGCTTTCTCATTAGTTGTTCGTGCTTGGGGTACTGTTTTCCAAAGAAACAGTGTAAAAAGTACATTGTTTGAACAATATTGATCAATATTTTTCCGCAGAATTTTTAAAGCGAGTTATAACATTCACGAAATTGTGAAACTAAGAACGGGGAGGTATTCTGATATAGATACATACCTGATAAGTATATACCTACCTTTAAAATACCTACTTACTTATATCGTTAGTTAATGAAAACATGCGAACATTCTACATACCTATCCATCATCAAAATTAATTGACAACTTCGTTACGTAAGATTAGCGGCTTATTATTATTTTTTATCCTGTAATTTTCATAGATTGCTGATTATTCATTACACCATAGTCTCGAAACAAAATAGCAAATTCGCCAGAGGGATCTAATAAATTAATATTAGGTAGTTGGAAACTTTTAGTATAAACGAGAAGCAATACTCTGAATTTTTTATTTTTGTCTACACAAATACTCTAAAAAATTTAACGTTGTAAGCGTATAAGCTGATCGCAATATTATAAAATATAAATATAATTTTATATCAATGACTGCAACGTCTAAGGCCGTAACATAACTAATACATATAGGCTGATCGATTTACAAGCAAACATTTTTTCACATATCTGATCGATATCGCAGGATTTTGAATTAAGATACAGCTGAGTATCGAAAAACGTGACGTCTTGACGTGTGTGGAAAAATAGTAAGTATTACTTACTATACTCATGTATAATAATAACAGCCATTGAATTTTACACTTCAGATAGTGATGAAGGGACAGGTTAATAATCAATTTCAGTAATTTAATATTTACTAATTTTATTTTGTAAAAACTCAGCGAGAATTGTATTGTTTGAAATGTTTATTTTAGTCAAGGTTGTAGAAAACTAAAGAAAATATTACTAGAAACAAATCCACACGGACCAGGCAGTAGACGGGTCTCGAACCCGCACCTTTCGCTATCCGGGCGAATGCACTGATCATTATGCTACTGTGGCCATGCTGGCCGTGTCGAATTCTTTCTAGCGTTTCTTAAGCTGCAAGGCAGCGCCATCTCTTCGCATTGTAGGTAACCCAAAATGTCAAATGAATACCTTTACGGTCTGTCAGTAGTCAGTGCATTCGCCCGGATAGCGAAGGGAGCAGGTTCGAGTCGCATCTGCTGCCTGGCCCGCGTGGATTTTTTCTAGTAATATTTTCTTTAGATTAAAACATCGAGCATATTTTTATTTTTTAAGCATGTAGGTACATGCTTAAAAAATAAAAATTATAACTTGTAGAAAACTGTTTTTAATGAAAAAAAAGACCACTGGAAACGGAATTATGTCGCACTTACTACCTATTTGGACATGGTACCCATAAGATCATTCCATTTCCTGGAAAATAACAGTAAGAGGTAGCACAAAATCAATACTCGAAAAACGATATTACTTATATTGCGATCAGTTTAAATTTTACACCATAAGAGTTTATACAAGAATACCATCGAAATGAACAATGCAAGCAAGCATTACTGTGTATAATGTAGATATTTTGCCAATATATAAAATTTATAATATAAATATTATTCATAAATTGATGTTGACTGTTTTTATAATTATATCAGCGGTAGTTACTTGATGTTGTGGTGTAATTTAGTGTCTTAATAGATGATCTTGAACCACTCGAAGTGAAGGCGTGTCACATGTGTTCATTTGTTAAATTAAGACAGCTCATTAGGGGTCTTGTCTTATGACAAGAAACTTTGTCAAACTAGCAAGTTCTTTCGTACATAAGGTGTCGCGCCAGCACAGTCACACTCATTTCGAGTGGTTAGGTAATTATTTTGAATTCTCTTAGCGTAAAAAAATTGGTGTGGTATTCTTTATATCTGTTCATGTACTATATAAACATATTGTAAACTCTAACTTAACAGATAATTTAAAATTAAATTTTAAATTTTTCTGAGCACCGCAATGGTTCTGTAAATATGCGAGTGCTGACCGGAGAAAATATGTGATAAATTAGGTGTAACGTGATATTTATTCCTATTGATTTACTTTTGGTACTGAATGAGTTACGTTCTTTTCGAAATTTTGTTTATTAGTTTGTCATCGTTTACTTTTATTATTATGTTTACTGGTGTTTATAAATATGACTGTTATTTGTACGAGACGCATTGATTTGTCGTCGACTGTGAACTTTTGGGCATTATACTTTTATTTACTTTTATTCAGGGGGACTTCGATGATGTGGGATATTGGTGTCGTCATAATTTCCTAATATTATAGCTTTTGTACAACAACGCACAATTTTTAATGATTTAAAATTGTTTACATAACTCCGTCCACTTTCAGTATTGTGTGTCTCTGTTTAAGGGGGCTTAAATTGACAGATGCAGACAGTAATTCAGCACGTTATTGTTACTTCATTTTGGTTTCATAATATATTTGGCGATTAGGTTCAACATACGCATTATATAACTCAGCGTAATAAAATCTAATAGTAAAGAAAATCGGCCGTCTACGACAGGACTAAGATGAGGTGACGTGCGGCGCGGAATCGACGTCACAGTAATGCGCGGGTATCCTTTGGCTTTACGCAGCGTGTCTGTACAGGTCGCGGCACGTAACTCTAGCTTTGGACAAAAACCGGAGGGGATAGCTGCGCATGGGCACGACTGGAGAGCCAATCGGCGCAACGCACGCCCACCCGCGCACCTCGTTTCCCCCCAAGACATCTTAATTTTTACTTATGCGCAAAAACGCTCAGCGCTAGAGTTTCGTGCCGCGACTTATACTGTTTACGATTACCTTAACAACTATAGTGATTTATCGTCGCGATAAAGAAGTTCGTTCACTATTTGATTTATTACACTATAATAATTTTGATAGGAAATGATCTGGGTCATCATTTTCCGGTATTCTTATGTATCCAGTAATAATATAGTTAACCATTGTTCTACTTATAAACAAAGATTTGAATTATTAGATACAGCCTTGCCAAAGTAAGACATCGCTGAAGTAATGAAGAAAAAGTTGATCTCTTTGAGTGCCAAGTGCAAACGACTTTCCATAATGACTTTATAGGTAGTACGGCAAACGAATCCGGGCTGGAGTGGCCTTTGCCGTTTTGGCTAAGTATTGGATTTTATAGGAATAAAATTACCAGCTGTGCCTGCTAACTTTCGACAGATTCAGCCAGCCGTACTGTACCATAATTGTGATCAAGCAAGTAAACAATACACTCTCAGCACTTAAATTACTTATGCACTATCATCGCTGCCAAAAATAATACATTATGAATACAAAAAAAATGCTTTTTAAGATATTGTGATGCTGGTAGGTCGAACAGTTTGTTCAGACTGTTAAGCTATTTCATCCCTTTTTCATTGCAGACTTTTTCTTTATATAAATTAATGCAGTGTATAAGAAATGGTTTAAGAATATAACATTGTCGGTATTTAAGGACGAACTGAAGACGAAGAGAAAATTAATTTCAAGATTATGTTAAATTTTAGAGGCAATTACTTTGGGACATAGTAAATACAACTTTTAGTGGTGATTGCAATAATTGTGATATTACTTTAAGTCAAGGGGAAATGAAGGAAGGTAAGATTGAAGTCTCTCTACAAGCGAGCCAACAGCGCGATCGAACGTAGACTGATTTTCGGGTAGAGGTTTAGTAGGCCAGAAGATTTGCAGTCAATAATTAAATATTTATAAATGTCTAGATGTTCATTTTTAACTGTTTTTAAAGAAGCCAAAACACATTTTCAATAGTCTAATGACGTAAAACAATAAGAGAGTTTATTTAATTTTTAAACAACTTATACAGAATGTTTTTATATGACAACCTTAAATTATTTTTCAGATGTATTGAATTTTATACATCTCCATATACAAGAATAGGGCTAAGTGTAGATATTGTAGATGGGTCTATTAACCGCGTGGTGCTACAATGTGTAATGATATGTGATAGAAACTGTTCTTCAGAGACATTTTATTTATTAAAAAAATCCATAGATAATAAAATATTAGTCACATTACATGATCATATACCAACAACGTCAGCAATAAATCGGTTTAAGTATGTAATAATATAAGGAATTTGTTTTTTTAGATTCAGTATTTGAAAATGCGGATAAAGTGATTGGTCGCACGTGTCTCGTAAAAACCGATGTCGCCAAACATTTTGTTAATAGAAATAATGTTTACCTAAATTTTCAAAACAAACATGTTTTGGGTTCAATGAGATTTAGATCGACCAAAAACCGTCTGGTAGTGCGTGTTTCGAAATAATTGTAGTCTCTATCAATTTAGTTACCTATTTAATTATTCGTCCAAGTCTTTTAAATTCTATTAATAAGGCATGATTATTGTATTACCTATATTATAAATGTCGACAGACCTAGCTAGTTAGGAAAATTGCTATAGGTTTTCATCTGGTCAACCGTATTGATACTGTAACCAAGAAAATGTTAATCGTGTAAAAATAAAATTGTTTTATGGCCTTATTAATAATAAAGTTGTCTTGGAATAAATTATTTGTATTATATTATATAACTTTCTTATAATGTTAATAATTATAAATGAATGTCCGAAAGGGAATATTTTTATGAGTTTTCTATTTGTAGTGACTAATACCATGGGCACTAATCTTACATATTCGTAATTATTATATGCGATTTACCAGCGGGTTTTCTTTAGTGATTATTATTATATTTATATTTTTGTTCCCAAGTGTAAATTCATGCGGTTTTATTTCGTAATAATAGTTTAATAGTACACAATGTTACATTTTTATATATTTTTACTCGTACGTTTCAGATGAATGTTATATTGTTGACAAGATTGTTATGTTTTGTAAACGTTCAATGATTGGACATCATTTAATTTTACATTTCACCAATTGAGACAGTCCACTCGATTCAAAGTTTTGTCCATTGTCCAAACTAACTTAGGCATAGTTACATATTTTGTATGTGTATTCTACCACGATCTAACGCTATTGTGTATATTATTTCTTGTCGATGTGCAAAATTATAGTATATGTCTTGGATCTCTAAAAATAAGAAAAAAAAGACAAAAACACTTTACTAAATTTCTAAATGTGCAATAAATAATGTGTGTTGTAGTGTTACCATTAGGCGTAAAAAAAATTAAGCTGTAAAAATATAGTTGCCGCGGTTCTAAGAACAATACGCCGATGTTATTGTTCGATTTAAAATTAGGTAAAGCTTTTAATATTACAATGATCTCATCTTAGCGGGCGGTGGCTGTATTTTTCTAGCGTATTAAATGAATATTTGGCACTTTAAAAAAAGGCACATTTTCCTTATTGTATTTGAAAATGGTTTGAAATGGTGTTGAAAATGGATTTGTTGGTAATTAATTTCATGATGAAATATATTTGTTTTAATAATAGTGTGGCTCTTTTATTTGCATTTCTTAATTCGGTCAAAAATATTTGGTTTACAAATAGCACCAGTGGCATTGAAAAAGTCGGAACTATGTAGCGATTTTAGTTGATTAAAAGTCAAAAAATAAAAAAATCCTCGGTCCAGGTTCCGTCCCGTCAAAAACCAGGCCGAATGGAATGTTGGCCGGTAAAATTTTCTATAGATACTTACCTACCTTATATTGTTTTAATCCATACATAAAACAGTATTAAACTGATTCAACGCATAACCGCTGGGATTAGAATTGTGATACCTATTTCACACAAATGTTTCTTTTATAACGTAGGTAAGTGGGTACAAAGACGAAATGGGGGATGATATTTATTAAAAAAATTCGACTTTGAAGACAGGTCAGTGTTTGAAGATAGAAATGTTGTAGAAATTAGTACACAAGCTCAAAGATTTCAATCGTTAGATATGCCCTTACCATAGTTTGACCGCTCTGAAAGCTGACAGCACTCGAATAGGCTAAGTAGTGTATCATCATGGCTTGTCTAATCAGTGTTCATCTGAATATAGTGGCAGTTTGACGTTGGTGAATAAAATACCGCAGGCAATTTTGCGAGAAAAGTGTATTAAAATGCCGTCGTGTGCCTTCCGAAAGTGCACTAACAATTCGAGAAATACAAATAAAGCTAATGGTGTAATATTTCACATGTAAGTTTTAAGATTTCATTGTTTATCAAATTTTTTTTTCGTTGTCATAAATATTGAAATATGATCGGACAGCGCATAACAGAGAAAGTAGTGTTGGAAAATATTGCAAGACAAAAAGAGACAACACTATTTTGCGCTGTGCGTTTTGAAGTTTGTCCACCCATGAAATTTCATAAAACAATGTTCTAAATTCGAAAGAACTAATTACTGTTCTTCATTCTTATTTTAGTGACGAGCACTTAGTCCTAAAATTTATTGAATCGGTAATCTTAGGACATATCATTAAAACTTTACAAAACTACAATATATTATGTATTATTATATTTAGTTAATATAATATATTATCCATAATTAGATTTATGGCTTTCGGAAAAAAAACACGTTTAAATCATTTAATTATAAAATCGCTCTCTATCTTTTCTTTATATCTAACTAGCTGACCCGGCGAACTTCGTACCGCCCAAAAGTCGATGAATGTGATTATATTAATTTATATTTATTAAATTAATTATTTTGCAGCCGCTATAAAACAAATACAAAACTGTTTAATAGTTTATAAGGATTTTAAACCCGTAAAATTAAATTTCAATAACTTATACTTTAATAGTGTATCAGCGAAATTTAAAACGGGATTTATTGTTTGCCATGGTTGCCATGTATTTGCCTAATAACTATTCCCCAAACACAGACATCCCTTAATCTCTCAGTACATTATTATCCTATACATATACATCCTAAATTTAATTAAGCTAGATATTTAATATTGCCACATTTATCGATTGTTTTATATTCGCCGGGTCAGCTTATTATAATATAATTGCAATGTACTTATTCACCACATAACAAAGCATTTGTATTTTTCTAAATTCTAAATGTATAATTAATAAATCAAAACGATCGCCGCAGATAGGATCGCTGAGCTTATGTAGACATTTATATTTTTTATTTAATTCAATCCTTTGATCAGCTACTGCTTGCAATATAGGTTAAATTACAAAAAAAATATCTAGAGGAGACTCGCATGTAATAGCATTTCTTTATTTTTTCGATAATAATTGACTTTCACTACACTATTGTTATGTGTCAAAACGGCCATCATCATAACAGCATTGCAAAATATAGCCACAGTTTTCAGTGTCAGGTCATATCTAACGGTTTAAATCTTTGCACAAGCTATGGCTAAGCATTGCGCTGTTACTATTTTGTAATGATTCTCCTCCTATGGGGAATCCTTGGGATCGAAGTCTCAGATGTCTGGAGTCACCCGCATACAATAAAAGAGGCTTATTAAACTTGTTGTTTTTATTCTTAAATCATTTGCTTTTATCAATAATTTTATATTTAAAGCACGATCATTTCTTAGGCGACTTGACAGCTAGGCCGCAAACAAAGATTGTCTTCTTTTTATATTGATTGTCAATTCTATATCAATTATAATAATAATCATAAAGAAAACCTGCCAGCTGTTGTTTCAAAAAAGGAGGATAGTAATGCACACTTGCGTTACACCCCGATTATTAATCTCCGCATGTGTTTCATTATGTAAATTGTAGAGTTTTTAAATAAAATTGGAATAGTAGTTCAAATTATTTAGAAATCACTTCGAAAATCGTAAATGTTACCTTACTTAACTATCAGAAATTTTATCGATTTCTTGACATTAAGTAAATTGGTGGTAAATGAATAAGGAAACCTTTAGTTATTTTTAGGAGTTCACTTGGTTATCACGAAAAATAAATGGAAAACAGTACCTCCTATGAAATTATGTTGCCCTGATACCTAAGTACATCCGATTTGATAAATAGTAGTTATATTATTTAGATGCTAGTAAACCCAAAAAAAATCTAATAGGTCTTCGAAAGCTTTTCTATCCATATCAATTTATTATTTATTTGATTATTAATGAAATTCCTGACGTTGAAATTGGTATAAAATTCCAGGCTTACCTACACACCTTCACACTGAAATTTGAAAGTGCGAAAGTCGGGGAAAAAATGCATTAAAAAGATTTTCCTCAAACATGTTTGAAAAGGAAACCTTTGATTTTCGCCCAATTTTGTACCTTGGTACAAATAACCTCAAAAACATTTGCTGTATCAAGAAAAGAATGGATCCTTTGATTACTATCTTCGAGAAAAATAGAAATTGATTTTGAAATTAGATTCTATGTCACACTATTTTCACTAAAATCTAAAATGCCATATCAAGTAACTTTATTACCTTTCAAAAGTTATTATGCAATATGACGCATCGAAAATAATAAAAAGAATTAGTATATATTACTTTTTGATATTGAAACTCACTTCTTTATTTGTTGAAATGACATTTATAAAAAAATGATTGTTTGAACATTGTTTGGACAAGAGCAAAATTTTACAAATAATATTTTCATAACGAAATAAAATAAAAAGTATGACCCTGGAGCAAAGGGCTGAAATAATATTTATCTTCGAAGATGGACAAGTATTAGCGATTTATCACGAGAACTCAATATATCGCGATTCACTGTGAGGTTTTGGGTCCGGCGTCACGGCGTAGAAGGGCACTTAACAGATCATAGAATTAATTCAGGACGACGACCAATTCTAACCGCCGCGCAAATATGATTCTTCGTTATGAAGAGAACGGTTTCACACCAGTTAGTTATTTTGCTGCTTTATATGATGCGAGTGCTCGGACGATCCGACGGTGCTGGACTACACTACAGACACCATGCTATTAAAATGGAGCTGAAACCTCACCACAAAACAGCCCGGCTTAACTTTGCGCGACATCATGATTTTGCTTGGTCGAATACCGTAAAGTGGGGCTAATTGAGACATTTATTTATGAAATAGGTGTTTTACAAAAAAACTACAGTTAGTTTATCAATATAGATCGTTATTTTTGGGTAGATCTTACAATTTTCTCTAAATGACTGCTATAATTGAACATTTTCTGTGAATAGATCTATAGATACAAGGTTATAAAGGTGCCGTTCCAAAAATCGCATTGATGAGGTTATTTGGTATCTGACTTAATTGCTTTTAGTTTTCTTATTTTTTGAGACCGTTTCGAAAAGAAACCAATGAGCGATATTTGAAAAGGTTAAAGAAAAAGGAGCTGTCTTCAGTTTGTGTCAATTTCACTTCATACGGTCACCAAAAAGGGTGAAAAATTACCATGAATTACCTATTTAGACGTAATGATAATCTGTCGCAACTTTGGGTTTATTTGGAATATAACGTTAAATATCCAATGAGTTTGGAATATAACGTTAAATATACAATGTCCAAATATTTGAAATATTTAAGGAGAAGTCTTTTCTATTTTATGCCCGCTGATTAAAAAAAGTAAAATCATCAGTTGGTTTATCACATAGAAGACTCTGCCGACAATCTGCATTGCAGTTTGGCAGAAATATAGATATTAAGTGTTTTTCTTTGTGGAAAATATATTAAAAAAAACCGGCCAAGTGCGAGTCGGACTCGCGCACCGAGGGTTCCGTACAAACCTGCAAGGTTTACAAAGTTTTGAAAAATGTTGCCCTCCCCATACATAGTATAATAACTCGCGGTCATTGCTGTAACTACAATTATGTTTACAATCACAATTATTTTGGTGGTATAACTACTTAAAATTTAAGCTTTACGGAATTTTTCTGTTACCTGTGCTGTAAGCTATTGCTTCTTACCAAATTTCGAGATTCTATGTCAACGGGAAGTGGTCTTTAGGTTTTAATTCCCTTGCGTGTAGTTGCGAGTTTCAAAATATGCGGTATCAATGGTTGTACTTTTGCGTTTTGCGTTTTTGCGTTGACTTAGATTTTTTTTTTTTCACGGGTTAAAGGCAATTAGATCTAAGTATTTGATATGAATTTTAACTTGATAGCTCTACGCGTTCATGAGGAAAAAGTAATAAGTTTATATTTATTAAAAAATATATATTTTGTAATGTAACTAAAAATTTAAGGTTTTCCGAATTTTTCCTTTATGTGTGCTATAAAACGTTGCTTCATGCCAAATTTCAAGATTCTAGGTCGACTGGAAGTACCCTTAGGTTTTGATTCCCTTGCGAGTACTTGCGAGTTTCAAAATATGCAGCTTAAATTGCTGTTTCTTTTGATTGCGTTGACATAGAAGTTTGATTTTGTTACAGCTTAAAGGTATTATAGACCTGAGTATTTGGTATGAATTTCAATTTAATACCTCTACGCGTTTATGAGGAAATGGGTAGTAAGGTTAAAATTATTAAAAAAAAATATATTATGTGATGTAACTAAAAATTTATGGTTTTCGTAATTTTTCCTTTATCTATGCTATAAGACGTTGCTTGGTACCAAATTTCAAGATTCTGAGTTCACGGGAAGCACCCTGTAGGTTTTGATTCCCTTGCAAGTGTCGAAAATTTGCGGCATAAACGGCTGTATCTTTTGATTGCGTTGGCTTAGAAGTTTGATTTTTTCACAGCTTCAAGGGACAGTAGACCTGAGTAATTGATATAAATTTCAGCTTCATACCTCCAGGCGTTCCTGAGAAAAAGGGTTTTGACAGACGGACGGACGGACGGACAGACGGACAACAAAGTGATCCTATAAGGGTTCCGTTTTTCCTTTTGAGATACGGAACCCTAAAAAAAGAGAAAATTATATGGGCAGCCACAAATAAATAAAAAATAAACAATAATTTACATAGGGTCTATTTTAATATTATCAGATTTAAAAAAATAATAATTTTAAAATAAAACTACTTACTTATGAATTATATTTTAATAATTTTATTTAATCACAAATTTTCTAGTTATTTTACAATACCTAATTACTGACATATCTAATTATTATGTAAGTAACTACCTACATATTAATAATAGGTAGGTCAGTAATTAGTTTTTGCAAAATTTTTGATATGTTCGGACCATGCTTGCATATTTGTAGCATAAAATAATAAAAAAAATCGTAAAAATATAGTGCCCCGAAACACTATTAATTAGGTTAAAATGAGCAATTGGGGTTATTTGAAACGATGAATAGAAGACTTAGCAAAGTTTGACAGACTTTCAAGGGGCTATTTAAAACAACGTTTCAATTAACTCCAAAACAGAAACCAAAAAGCCCCATAGTGAAAAAACCGAATAGCATGGCAGGCCGTAAGAGATAGAAAAAAGCTAATTCAATCACTTTAATGCCGATGAAAAACACTATTTCGCAAGCTATTTCACTCTTAACATACCTTTCTAGATGTAGTGTACCAGACGAAAGTTTTGGCACCACAAAATACATCCAAATTTTACGATTTTCTGAATGACGCACTGCTCAACGGTTATCGCCAATTACAAAGAAATTATAAAGTTTGAAATTTTTAGTTTTCCTAAACTACCCCCTTAAAGGGAATTAGGATGAAGTATTTTATTGTATTTTCCACATCATGATGATAATTTTTTTCTTCTGGACCATATCTGAGAAATTTATGGTTATGGATATATTGAAGGTCAAAGTCAAATATTTATTTTTTGATTTATGCATTAATATTTTCAAAACGTTATTTAGAAACTTTTTTATCGACGCACTTACACTGACTCACACACATACACGCAGGCACATTCTTTGCGTAGCGCCTAACTAGCGCGCCGGGTTAAACATTGCGTACTGGAAAAAAAAGAGTTTTTTTAACTTAAAAATTATTTTTTTTCCCACGTATAATATTTTGTATTATTAGTTGTTTTGATGAACAGAATGCGTAGTTTTAGGCCCGTATTTAGGTGAAAGATTCTCAGTGATTGATCTAGTCTTGAGCATAGTTAGAAAGGGATGTCGCTATATAAATCACATGGCGACATCCCTTTCTAACTGTACTCAAGTAAAGATCAACACTTACTTTGTCATACTGTAATACGGACCTTAGTCTTTGTCATAGGTTTTTTTACACCCTGTGTAAATGAATTTTAACGTGCATTTCCATTAACTCAAAACTTGGTATTTTCACTAAAGACCAAAAATAAAAAGTTACACAAGTACAAATCTATGTACCTTCTTTATGTACGCCAACAAGTCGTGGTACTAATACTAGTCTTGTAATTGTAATTTAATTAACCGACTCCAAAAAAGAAAAAAGAACCCTCAATTCGTCAGGATATTTGGTTTGTACTGTATTTACATTGATACATGAACAGTAAATACCTACATCACTCAACGATTTCGATACATAGGTAAAGCGGGTGTGTAGCACCTTTGCAATAGAGTTGCCATCTACGAGTACGTACGAGCCGTGACTACGGACGGCACCACAAAAAAGACATAACAGAAGGTAATCGATGGCTGGTTCATGCGTCATGCTCGTGAACGGGTGCTGCCAGATGAGTCTGCCCTATCTACTTTGATATTTAAGATGTAAATGTCTAGTTACATGTATTATAAATAACACTATTTGTATTTATTCTGTCTGACACAGCAATCAAAATGCAGTTAAAAAATTAATGTATAATTTCACATTATGTAATGAAAGGTGACTTCATGAATCATCTCTGAAGTCATTTTTCAACTTGACGACTCTGTAAATAATAAAACAGGGAGAAAAAACAGTCCTTGCTGAGTTTCTTGCCGGTTCTTCTCAGTACAAGGTCTCCCACCCAATCACACACCGAAGGCGTAGCTTCTAGACATTCATGAGTGCTTGTAACAGCCTAAACTGAATAAATGATTTTGATTATGATTATTATGATTAATCTATACTTCAATTTGCATACCTATGCTCGGCGGTAGCGCTAAGATTGTCAACATTGGCTTATGCACAAAAAACTATCGCGGCAGTGGCACTTGTATCTACCTAGCTGTTTGGTTTATTATATAAACCAATAATAACATAAAAAAATCAATTTTATTGTTGTTATTATTTACAAATGAAAAAAATACAATTCACCGCTTAATGTTGAATTCAAACAACCGTTTACTGAACAGATAGGTATAATAACTGTTTACTGTTCCTCCATTTTTACCAAAAAAAGTTTTCAAACGCATGTTTTAAGCTAGTGGAAGTCGCGCGCGATGTTGTCTGACTGAAGTGGTTCGAGATATCGTATCCTTGAACGGTGTCTATGTGTGCGTTGCTCGAGCGCACTGTGTATGTAGATTACCTTCTGTTATGTCTTTCTGTGACGGTACCTA